CTGATAATATTCCCAACTCCACCTGTTTCAGCACGGTGTTCCGTCAATGATTGTTTAGCATTTGAAGGAGCATTCGATGATGATCCACCTCCGATCTTAAGATATTTAGTAATATTTTCATCATCATCATCCTTCACATCAAAAACATCTTTGATCCCTGAATGATTTACAGAAGGAAAAGGATAGCCATCAAAAAAAGCCATCACCGCCTTTGGTTGTCCAGCAGTAGTAGTAGTAGTAGTAATGGTTGTTGTTGTTGTTGCTGTTCTTGCGGTACGCTGGCGTCAGGTTTCGTGGCCTCTGGTGGTGGTATCGCGTCCTTACAAGTAAAACCACCAATAGTAGCTTTACTGTTATGCTTACACACCAACCCCAATGCTTGTTTCTTCTCCGTCTCATTAACATGAGGAAAACCCTCCCAATCAACAGGATCCGCCATGGTACACCCACCGGCGCAGCACAGCACAACGGCCAACACACACATCACACGGCGCATCATCATCATAATCATGAGAGATACAATAGTTTAGTTTGCGTAAAAACACTGATCTAGAAAGAAAAACAACCAAAAAGGAAAAAAGAAGAATGAAGAGAAAACAGAAGCACCAGTACACCACTATTACTCCACACACAACATCCATTACATACATATATGGTGTCAACCATGAATATAACGGAGGTAGGTACAGATTAGAGAAAATACCCATTGTTCAAACAAAATGAAGAATCATCCAATCCCAAAGAAAAAAAAAAAGATTATATACGAATTAAAAAACAATTTGGTAACATTGCAGAGATAGCCACACACACACACACAAAAACAATAATAACGGATAATGCATAAATCTCTCTGTGTTGGCTTCTCCATGTCCCCATTATAATTAGTACCCCATAGTAACAAGAAAAGTATATTTTATCCCGCTCATAAACAATGTGAAAGCAAATAAAAAAAAGAAAAGAGATATCATTTACCAGAACCACACAATTGCAGAGTGAGACACACCACAAGGTGCACAGCAATGCTCTGCTTACAAGTATAAAAAAGAAAAGAGATTAAGTATTTCCACACAAATTGATGCACCTCATTCCAGTGGGTGTCATCGGGATTCATTTTCTCAACACTCAATGTACAAAAACACAGTAGCAAATATATTATTATTATTAGCAGTAAACAAGTGATTGCCAACACTCTCTGGAAGGGACCTCGCCACAGTGCTCAGCACACAGAGAGAGCAACAGCGGCAGTTTCTTTGTATTTATTCCACAAATATCAGCAGCATTATGAGAGCGCCATCTATTT